ACACCACAACCTTGGGTCTTCCAGACACCACACAACCCTCGAGAAGCGACCTCGCAGTCAACGCTCATCAAGACTCGCATTGCCAACCATCAAAATAGCTCCCCAACGTCGATGTTGGCTGCGGTGGACCAGCTTACCAAGAGTACGATGGCTGTAATGTACCAGGTGGCCCTACTTCAGTCAGAGGTCTCTTCGCTCCGCAAGGCCAACGAGGCACTTAGTAAGCGTCGTAGAGCTAAAAGAACACGCATACAGCTTGGAGGATCGCTTACAGTACAAGATGCAAAGGATCAACTAGGCCAGAAGGCCACGGTTGAGGATATGGCGCAAGAAAAGGAGCAGGATAGTGGGAGTGCAGGGAGGGGTCGTACGAGGGTTCGGTGCTGTGGTGTGTGCGGCAAGCCTGGCCATAATGCGCGTACGTGCCAGGAGGCTGCAGAAGCATCTGACTCAGCCGTTTCTGATGTAATTGTAGTTGGTTGATAGTCTTGTTGTATTGCAATTCAGGATCGTTGTTATGGAGTGGTGGAGAGTGTCTCGCTCGCTTATATGTCTCGCTCGCTTATCAAGTACATTAGTAGGTAGTCGAGTTTGGAAAAAGACGAGTCAAAAGCAGACTGGATGTGGTTTGGGATAACTTGTAGATTGGACATAGTTCCGTTGCATTGGAGAAGAACGAGTCTTGGTAATCATGGGACGCAGATATAGTATACTAGTATTATGACGGGGTGGTTTAGGTAACGTACTTGCATAGCGAGCGGCCCAGCATAGCGAGTGGCCCACTTTTCTCTGACCTCGATTACTTTGTATAAGTCAGTTCTACCAAAACGCCCTTCATTAATTAAAATTACTCAAAAACGCTATCCTCAGACGTCTCACTAACTACTTGACAAGTTCGCGCATTATGGACGGGCTGCTTGCAGTTGCTACAAAGCCGAACGTGTGGCTTAGCGACGGTTATACAACCACCACTCGTGGACGTTTCCTCGCAATCCTGACCACCAAGTCCCCGGTCGCCCATCAAAACCGTCGCCTCTTGCAAACTAAGTGATCCTCCGTCCTGCAAACGCGTTTTTCTGGTTCTGCGTCGCTTGCTTAACCGCTCATTTGCCGCACGAAGCTCTTTGGTCTCGGCTCGGAGCAACACCATCTCATGCGCCAATTTCGAGATGCTCTTCGCTTGCAAGTCGATAATGTCAAAAATATGGGTGGGGGAGCTACCTTGATGGTGTTGAATTTTCCGCTTGAGTGTGCTGGAACTCAGTGTCGCTTCGTGCGCGTTGGAGGGTGTCTTGGGGACCCAAGATGTGGCTGTTCCGGGACGCGAGCTCGGAGGAAATGGGGTGATTGGCTTAGGGTCGAGGCGAGAAATTACCGATTCAGGGTCGAAAGGAACGAGGCCGGCTACTCTGAAGCCTGCTCGTACGTTGTTCGCCGTAACAGAGGCGTTGAATGCCTTGACAAACGCGTCGAAGAAGTCTTCCTTCATAATGTGGGTGATCTGCATCCGCATCATCTGCTCGATTTGCTTGACATACGAGGCCTTGAGCGGGCTGAAACATCCTACATCGAGAGGCTGAAGAAAGTGTAATGAATGGGGAGGCATGCAAAGTGTAACAATGTTGTTGGCCTTGCAGAAATCCTCGAAGGCGACCGAGTGGTGGCTTTCATGGCCATCCAGGATGAGCAGCCGGTATATCCCTTTTGTCCGACGCCGGGTGGAATGATCAAAATGTTTTAACCAATCCAGACCAATCTCGTTTGTAGTCCAGCCATTATCGCTCGTGTGAACTCTCCATTGGGG